GTTTAGACCATGGTTAGATAAATTTGTAGTAGTCTACTTAGATGATATCCTAGTCTTTAGTAAGACCCTCCAGGAACATCAGGGTCATCTGAGGCAGGTCTTGGAGAAGCTTAGAGAGGCTAACTTCAAGATCAACGCGAAGAAGTGCGAGTGGGCCAAGATGCAAGTCTTATACTTGGGCCACGTGTTGGACGGAGATGGCATTAAGCCAGAGGACAGCAAGATCGCGGCGATCAGAGATTGGCCGACGCCCCGCACATTGACAGAGTTGCGGTCGTTCCTAGGCTTAGCTAACTACTATAGGAAGTTCCTAAGGAACTTCTCTACTATCGCCGCTCCCTTGCGCAGGTTGCTAAAGAAAGAGGCAATCTGGCAATGGGACAAAGACTGTACGTCTGCGCTCAAGAAGCTAAAGCGCGCGTTAATAGAATATCCTATCCTCAAAGTTGCAGGTCCGTCTTTGCCATTTGTCGTCACCACGGACGCGAGTCAGTATGGGATAGGCGTCGTGTTGCAGCAAGACGACGGCAATGGTTATAGACCCGTAGAGTTCATGTCAGCGAGGATGCCCTGTGAGAAGGTTGCTACCTCCACGTACGAGAGAGAACTCTACGCTCTCAGGCAGGCTTTAGACCATTGGAAGCATTACCTGCTTGGGAGGCACTTCAAAGTCTATTCGGACCATGAATCGCTTAGATGGCTAAAGACCCAGGCCAAGATGACACCTAAGTTGACTAGGTGGGCCGCAGAGATAGACCAATTCGACTTTGAGCTCAAGCCAGTAAAGGGCAAGTACAATGTAGTGGCTCTACTTTGGTGCCGTAGTACATTATCTGGATATAGGGAGAGACCTGCAGGAGAAAGTGAAACAAGCGTATACGCAGGACCCTATCTATAACGACCTCCTAAAGAGAGTTAGAGAGACCCCAGAGACCGAACCAGATTACCGCACTACTTACGGATTGCTGTTTGAGAAGACTAATGTGTTTGACCAGATTACCGCACTACTGACGGATTGCTGTTTGAGAAGACTAATGTGTTTGACCGCCTGTGCGTTCCCAACAGCGAAGAGATTCGTAGTCTAATTCTAGGGGAATGTCACGATACTGAGGGACACTTCGGTTGGCAAAAGACATTAGCCAATCTGATGCGTACGTACACATGGCCAGGGATGAAGAATGACTGCATAGAGTATGTCCGCAGTTGTAAAGTCTGCCAGAGAAATAAGTCTACTACACGCGCGCCCTTAGGTCTTCTCAGGCCCTTGCCTATTCCGGATCAGCCGGGAGACTCAGTGTCTATAAACTTCATGGACACGCAAGTCAAGAGTAGACATGGTAAGAGCCAAGTCATGGTCATAGTCGACCGTTGTAGTAAGTATGCAGTTTTTGTTCCCTTGCCTGCAAAGGCACGTACAGATTTAGTAATAAAGAAGTTTTTTGACTCTTGGGTTAGTGAGAATGGAATCCCATTGTCAATTGTTAGTGATAGAGATAGTCGCTTCACCAGCCAGAACTGGCAAGAACTCATGAGAGTTTACGGATCTAAGTTGTTAATGTCATCTGGCCGTCACCCAGAGACTAACGGTCAGACAGAACAGATGAACAAGATCCTACAGCAAGTTCTGCGCATGTACATTAGACCAGATCAAATTAACTGGGATGAGATGTTGCCTAAAGTAGCTAGTGCATACAACAACAGCGTGCATCTATCGACCTGCCGCACTCCCAATGAGTTGCACAAGTCCTTTAGACCACACAGACCGTTCGAAGGACTGAACCGGGATCAGATTAACAGACTACCGCCCGGAACCAGGGAGTTTGCTTTGCAGCAAGAGAAAGAGTTAGCAACTGTTGTTGAGAACCTCAGAAAGACCCAACATAGAATGATAGAACAGGCTAATAAGCACCGTCGCCCCTCACAGTTTCAAGTAGGCGACTTAGTCTGGGTCAAATCTAAAGAGTTTGCACCTGAGGAGCACATCTCGCAGAAGTTATTGCCTGCCTATAGAGGACCGTGGCCGGTATTAGAAGTCAAAGGCGGAGAGAATGGACCGTCCTATACTATAGAGATCCCAGCACACCTCCACACDTACCCAGTCTTCCATGCTTCCAAGTTGCTACCATGTGTCACAAGTGAACAGTTTGCCTCGAGAAGATCAATGATCCCTCCGGATATGGATGGAAGATACGACATTGACGGTATTGTAGACGAAGATGTGTTTAGAACAGGAGGTAGAGGTCGTCCCCAGAAACAGTACAAGGTTCGGTTTGCCTACCAGGAGCCGGAAGACGACTGTTGGTTCACAAGAACAGAACTGTTGGAGACAGCCCCTGACATAGTGAGGGCTTACGAACGAGATAAGAAAGGTAAAGGTCCAGTCTTGGATTGAAATATTCTCGGAGGACCTCGAATTTAGGACGGTGGGTGTGAAACAGTTTTCACCTTTGGCAGTAGCMGATGCAGATCCCAGGGGTCGATCC